AAATATTTTATTCACATGTTCCGTTTTGTCCGTCATGAGGAGGACTTTTAATAAAGGGCTTTCTAAAAATTGCCACTCGTATGGTAAATTCTCATTGTCATCCATCTTTAAATATCTGTACAAACTAGAACTTATGCATGCACTATAACCACCAACATCTGACCAACAATTATGTCGGGTTCGTCAAAACGATAGTTCGTCAGAACACGCATCCACTATAACCGTAGCCTTATTTTTCATTTAACAGCCAAATTGACAACCGGTCACAAACCGAAAAATATTGCATTTTTCTTTGTCGTATGTTGGTGTATTGAGGAGTCACTTGTATGGTGAACGAAGTATTTTTCCAGCATGAAAAGCAAATATATGAAGGCATTACTTATTGGATGGACACCACTAATCACTAGCAGCGTATCAATCAACAACAGCATTAAGCAACGGGAGTATTATAACTAGTTACGTCCACGATTAAACTCACCATTCCAGTTGCTACTCATGTGCTATGAAGTACTATGGTGGTGGTGAAGGCTTACTCAATACAGCTATAAATAATTTACCTGTAGAATTACACATCTAAACATACAATTACTGTGGTCCTCGCACTAAGCTTAATGAAATGTTAGCCAGAAATGACCCAGGTGTGAACGGATTGGATGAAGCTTGTAAACAAGACGATATATTTTACTCAAAAGAAAAAGGTCTGAGTAATCGTCACTTGGCTGATAAGGTGCTAGCAAAACAGGCAATGAATAGGTTTCGTGCAAGTGATTCGTCTTGGAAAGAGAAGGCTGACGCATAAAACTTGGAATGGGTTTAAAAGAAACCTATGAAAGGCACAAAAAACGTAATATAAACAATTGTTTGAAGAAATTACATAAATTAGCGAAGGAATTACAGGGGTCTCAAAACCTTGTTCAAGACTGTACAAATTCTACAAACTCAACAGTCATGCCAAAAAGATATACACCTGAAAGATAAGGAAAAAAATATATCTAGTGAGAGAAAATTACAAAAAGTAAGAGAAATCAAGAAACGCGAAAGCAAAAAAAACTCTGACATAAAACATGAAACATCGAAAGTTAAGCGTGGACGAAAACCAAAGTCTGATTTAGAGGACACAAAAGAAAAAATCAAGGGAAGAAAAAAACCAAAAGCTACAATTGAATTCATGGACACTTATATAACAGAAGAGCAAAAGAACAAACCAAAAAAGAGAAAACTGGATTCAGTCACTACTACTACTACTTCATTGAATGCTTAACAAGTGAAAAAAAGAAAAATAGATTTGGATGATCCGGTTATAATTCCCGAGAAAAAATGCAGTACAAAACGTAAAAGGGAATCTGATGAAGTAAAGGAAAACAAATAACGTAAATTAGATATGAGTGACGTAATTCCGTCTCGATGGAACCAACATAACCGAAAACGGAAGATACAACCAGATGATGATGATAACATACCTAAGAAAGTGGAAGTTATAAGTACCTAGTAATCCAGACATTTAAACTCAGTAATGAAAATGGCACATAAGGAGAATGTTAAACCTAAGAAAAGAGCTACAATTGACCAACAACAACAACGATCACAGCGACAGAAAAAAAATCAAAGTAAATCAAGTACGAAAAGGAAGGTTAGCTTTTCTAGTGCAATTAAACGAATAGGGAAGCATGTGGTAGCTCAAAAACCTACTACCTTTGGAGAAGCAATACTTGTAGCACTGAGGGAGGCACAAAATTTGAAGAAAGGTGTAAGAAAGCCGCCAAATCGTATAGTGAAGATACCGAAAAAAGGAGGTGTATTACCACTAATCCCAATTTTTGCTGGCTTATCAGCCCTTGGAGCTTTGTCTGGTGGTGCTGCTGGTATTGCTAAGGCTGTCAGTGATGCAAACTCTGAAAAGCAGCAATTACAAGAATCTCAACGGCATAATAAAATGATGGAAGCTGTAGCACTTGGAAAGGGAATGTTTTTGAGACCCTATAAAATGGGAATGGGTCTTTTCCTGAAACCATACACTAACTGAAACCAGTTGTGAGATAAAGGAAAATGAAAAAGAAAAAACAAGTAGTTAAAAAAAATTCAATTCCAAATAGTCACCCGTTAACAAACTTTGAACTGGAAAAGTATGCAAAGCGTTTAAAAATACCGTATTTTCGAGGAGTATTTATGCGAGATAAGCTTCCCAAAAAAATAAAAATCAATGAAAGAGGAATCATTAATTTGGATACATCTACTGGACCAGGTACTCACTAGACTGCATATAAGAAGAAAGGCAACTTGGTGGTTTACCTAGATACATATGAAAACTTAGAACCACCATTGGAAGCAATTGTATATTTTAATTGTAGTGGACCCTGTAGAATACAGTACAATTGTAATGTATTTCAAAGATTTAATACTGTAAATTGTGGTCAATTGTGTTTACGTTTTCTCAAAAGTGAATAAATGCTGGTTACCATAATAACACTTGTTTATTTCATCTATGACCATTGATCGGTTCATATCATGTATACATTTACCTTATCTGGTAGAGAGTCTGTGTTATCAGCTAAAATCTATCCACCTATCGTGCTGGATAATAGGAAAACGTACGCTTTGGGACTTATTGATTTTTTAACTTTCAACACAATACCCAACATAGATATAACAAATAATAAGTTTCATATTGATGATGAGGTTTTAACAATACCTGAAGGTAGTTATGAAATTACAGACATTATAGAATTTATTAAAGAGAGAATCAAACCACGAGTAGGTGAACAAAATAAAAAAAGGAGAATGTCCCCACAACAACAACCACAACAAAAACAAAAACGATCTCTAAGTTCAAATGCAATTTTAAAAGAGGATAAACAGCCTGACATACAACTTTATACGCGAAATAATTTAAATACGTTACGGTTTGAAATTAAAAGTAACCGACTCATCGATTTTGAGCAAACTGGTACAATAGGTGGGTTATTAGGGTTTAGTAAGAGAAAATTGAGTCCACATAAACTACACATCTCAGATTTTCCTGTAAATGTTTCCAAAGTGAACTCTATATGTGTGGAATGTAATCTGATAACGAATTCTTTCAGAAATGATCATACTGTTCACACGTTGCATATGTTCTACCCTAACGTGGCTAGTGGATTTCGCATAATAGAAAAAGTATCAAGTATCTACCAATAAATAGACATTACATTGATGAAATAGTGCTTAAAGTAGTGGATCAAGACGGAAATTTGGTTAATTTTAAAGGAGAAGTGATAACGATAAGAGTACATTTAAGAGAACTTTAGCATGGTATGCCTTTATAATATTGTAGTACCGTTGAGCTCAGCTAACAGCGAGAACAACAACAACAACAACAACAACAAGGATAAAGGTCAAAATAGATCAACAAAAACTATTAATAAACAAATACATGTTGGTAAAACAGTTAGTAGTAAACAAGGAAGCAAGGGATTAACATCCGAAAATATACAATTTCTACAGTTGCTTGGCTTTAAGGTGATTGCATAAGTGTGGCGGACGCATATCAAGAACAAACGGTTAATAGTGATAGTAATAGCAGCAGCTGCAGCAGCAGTAGTAGCAATACCTGCACTGCTGGATTGATACTACGCATAAAATTATCACTCTACTCTGAACTACAAAAGTTATTTGTTAATCTCAAGTGTAGCTGTTTGATAAAACAAACAAAAAAAGTTGACCTTAATTATTCTCAACATAGGAGAAAATATTTGAATCGATAATTCTATTACCAATTGTGAAATGCATAGCCATCCACCATACGCTAATACAACTTTCAATAATTCAGATGAAATAAGAATACCAATACAAACACAAGATACAAGATATACTACCTTGTAATAGCTCACTGTATATTGAAGGAAGATTAGTAGAGGCAAAGGAGAAGAAATGGTCACCAACATTACGCCTCGTAAACAATTTTGTATCATTTTGATTTGATGAATTGTGATATGAAATTGGAGGTATAGTTGTTGATAGAGTTCGTAACCCTGGTATAACAACCACCATTAAAGTACTGGTATCTTTCACAAACAATGAAGGTAATAGTTACCAACATGCAGGCTGGAATCATCAAGAATTACCCGAAATATGAAACAGTGAAGGTTATTTCAGTGTAACTATTCCACTGAAAAATTTAATGGGGTTTTTTGAAGACTTTAAAAAAGTACTAATCAACATCAGACAGGAATTGGTCCATATAAGAAGCTCCACAGATGTTAATGCAACTGTAACGACAACACCTGGCGAGAAACCTCATTTAGGTCTGTACAGAATACTATGGTGAATTCCACACATCCAAGTAGCTGATACTGAAAAACTACACCTCATGAAGTACATAGAGAAAGGAAGGGACTTACAACTAGCGTTCAGGAGTTGGGAGTTGCATGAGTACCCCATTTTACAACAGACAAATAAACATACATGGAACGTCAAGGCGACTAATCAATTGGAAAGGCCACGTTTCGTTATTGTTGCTTTTCAAACTGATCGGAAAGGACAGCTGACTAAGAACTTGAGTCACTTTGATCACTGTAACCTGAGCAATATCAAATTATTTTTGAATTCTGAAATTTATCCATATGACAATGTAACTTTCAATATGAGCAGAAATTATTTTAGTATCTTGTATGAAATGTATGTGCACTTTCAGCAGTCCTATTATTATAGAAATTCCAGTGAGCCATGTCAAAACTTGAAAACTTTCATTGATGCAACCCCACTTTTTGTTATTGACTGCAGCAGGCAAAATGAGACATTAAAATTGGGTTCTGTTGATATTAGATTGGAATTTGAAACTACCGTAAATATACCACCAAATACTACTGCCTTTTGTTTGATATTACATGATCGTCTTGTAAAATATAATCCATTAAATAGTACTGTAAAAGTTTTTTGATAAAAGATGTTGATCTTGTATTGATAACATGTAAAGAGAGAGTGTGTAAATAAAACATTACTTTTGGAGAAATCACTTTTTTATTTTAAAATATGTTTTGTGACAATAACAATGTGTCATCATCATCATTGTCATCGTTATCATTGCCCGTGACTGCTGTAGATACTGGTGGTGGTGGTTTCCTAACCTTTTGCGTAGGCTCCTTCTCCTCTTCCTCCTCCTCCTCCTCCTGCTCATCATCATCATCATCATCGACCACATTTTGTAGCACTGGTGGTTCCAGATACAGCTTTCTCTTCTTACCACCACCACCACCACCACTGCCACCAAGACCACCAAGACCACTCGTTACAGGTCGATCTTGTATAGACTGTCGATTGATGTCTTCCAACTGTTCGTCCCACAAATTGAACCGATATTTTTTGACGATTCTTTCCATTACCTGGAATTCCGCGTTCTTATCCAATTTGGTCCTCAAATATTTGATTGGCAGCAAGCCGAATTTTCATTTTAATGTTGCTGCTCTTGGTGAGTAAGTTAATTTTACGAAGATTTTGTCACCGCTCGCTTTCATCTCCCTGACACCGTATCTGAAGAAGAAAAAAAAAGATTAATAGAACTGTACCATACACTACCAAGGTAAGTGATTTGTTTGACTTATTCGAAATGCTTTAGATTTGTTCAAACAAGATCTATTCACACACACACACGCACGCACGCATGCTCGCACGCACGCACACACACACACACACACACAGTCGCTGCATATCTACACATATCCAAATGAGTAGCAGCCAAAAGGTGATCGATACTGTGTCTGACGAATTCGTTAGGAGAATAGAGGTGGTAAGTAGATTAGTTAGGACAAAAGCAGATTACGATTTTTATATTAAAGAGATACAAAAATGTATTAGAGCGCTTAATAAGTGTATCAAACATAAGTTTGATTGTGTTAAGAATTTTTCAAAAATAGAGTCTAATTTGTCACTTCTCAAGGCTTACCTTGAAAACTTCAAATATAAAATAAATCGTAAAAGCCAAAATAGAGAGCTTGTTTGGGCAAATGTGGATTCATGCTTTAAGAATAGAATTAAGTCAGGTGTTATAGTTAATTTGAAAATAAAAGATTCAAAATTATTTTTCAAGAGAGCATTCAAAAGTTTTGCGTTACAAATAAGAAAACAGCTTGATATTTGTATGTTAAAATCGAACGTTATTTTTTATAGTTTGTTCATTAAGCCTCAGACTGCTGAAAGATCGATCAAACATTTTGTTACAAAAAGTCATATAATTGATAGAAATACCAATTTAAAAGAGTGGTATAAAGTTCATGTCACTGATCAAGTTTTGAGAAAATTAGAAGAGTTCCAAGAGCGTGATTCTGGATGGGCCTTATTAGAAATTTTGCATTTAAAAGTGAATATTAATAGATATTTCCCCATAAATGTTGGTCTTTCAACTTATTTTCCCCCACCAAAATTTATACAAATGTCGAAAAGTGTAATTAATATTAAAAATAATGATAATTATTGTCTTTTGTAGTCAGTTGTAAGCGCCTTGTATCGTGTAGAAAAAAATGTAGCCCGCCAATTATCATATCCTCATTTCAGTACAGTATTGAAATACGAAAATATCAGCTTTCCTATACGTTTGAAAGATATACCCAAGTTTGAGATTATGAATTACCTAGGAATAAATGTGTTCACACTCGTAGGCAATCGAATGAATGAAGTTGTACCGTTGATACCCAGTAAAACTAATTTCACGCCTAGAATCAATTTACTTATGTTTTGCAATAATGATAGTTGCAATTCGAATGCTAACACTATTTATCATTTTGCGTATATAAAAAATTTGTCACGCCTAATAAGTAGACAAATAGGTTGGAAAGATCACAAAAATGGATTTGTGAAAGGCGTCTAAATCATTTTTCAAGTGAACATCATTTGAGAAAACATTCTGAAAATTGTAAGCAGCTTAACAGCACTAAGGTCGTTATGCCTAATGAAACTAATAATATTATGAAATTTAAAAACTTTAGGAATAAATTATGTGTTCCTTTTGCCATTTATGCAGATATTGAAAGCATACTAATGAATTATACGAATGATGACAATGGAACAAATAACACACAAAAGTTTAAAAAGCATGTGGCTTTCAGTGTAGCTTACTATCTTAAATCGAATTACGAAAATATCCTTCCAAATTTAGATTGCATACGGGTGCTGATTGTCAAAATTGGTTTGTTAATGAATTGCTCAACATTGCTAAAAAACTTCATAAAGCTTATCAGACATGCGAACCTATAGATCTAAACAGTGACGAGGCGAAAGGTTTTCGTTTGACTTACAGTTGTAGTATTGTATATATATCGATGGTGTAGTGCACAAATGTTGTAAGTGATTTTTCATTGAAATTGACTTATCTACAGCAGCATATTACTCAAGGGACGAAGCATCGCATGCACAAGTGTGGTAGTTGATTAATATATTTATGATGCTTCTAGCGCCACCTGCCAGTAGGTATAAATAACTTTGAAATGTAGATTTCTATCGCATACGTCTTAAATGTACTTAACACATTTGTACTTAGTAACCTACATCCACAAGATGGTGTTAAAGGTAATTGCCACATCTGTGATTCACACATTTCTCGTAGGCTGAAGTTTGAGGTTAGAGTTTTAGCTGGTCTGGTCGTGATACTAGTGTGTGCGTGATACAAGTGTATGCTGCGAAAAGGCCATGGCGTCTCGATCTGCACTAATTCTACAACTGGCTCTGAAGGAGCAAGTCTGTACAAAAAGTATACAGGGTACGTATAACATGAAACAGGTAGACCTTTTTTTTGAAACGTTCATTTGCTTGCAGATAGGGAGGTTTTGAGGTATTCTGAAGTAGAAGTGCTTCCATCTGTACCAATCGACGCTGTTTTTTAATCACGTAGTGGAGGAAATAATACGGAATTTGAAATTATACAGGGTATGGATAGATAATACTGAATGAATCAGATTTTTAAGATAGTTCAGTATATTTTACTTATAGATGAGCTGATTTTGAGGACTGCTGCAATCGCCGTACCCCCAACTACCGAAACTGATGTTATTCAGGACCGTTGCTGTGGACTAAATACGGAAGAAGCTATTTTCACAGATTCCCAGTTGGACGTACCAGTAATAGGTATTACTTGACAATATATTGCTCACGTTTGTTACTAATGTTTTACTGTATATTTCAGAAAATATAATGAACTGTAGTCCTTCACCAACCACCATGAGTACCGACAATGACCCTGAACCATTTATTCCATCTGACAGCTCTTATACTCCTTCCAATCAAGCTAGTGAATCTGATAGTGAACCAGACGAGGTAACATATCAACCCTCTAAAAAGCAACGAAAAAGAAAAGCCGACCCTCAACTCTGGAAAAGGTCTGTTGTGAAGACTTTGAGATTAAGTGGCGAAAAATATGTAAATCGAGCTGGTAAGACAGTACCAGTAAAACTTCCAAAAATAGTAGACTGTTCTAAATGTCGCTATAAATGCAGCAACTTTCTTTCGCAGGATGAATGTCAAATATTATGTAAAGAGTATTATCAATTAGCAGACTACACTAGGCAGAAAATATATTTAAGTTCTTTAATGGAGAATGTACCAGTAAGCAGAAAAAAATGCACTCCACTGACTAAAAACCGTGCCACTTCTAGAATATACAATTTGAAAAACACAAAGGGTGTTAAGCATAGAGTATGCCAAAAATTCTTTTGTGCTACTTTTGCTATTTCACATCGAGTAATAGAGACAATAAATAAATCTATGAGCAGCACTGGCTTTTTATCGGCCATGATAAACGGATAGACTCCAAGCCTCATAACATAACTCCCATTGCAATTAAGCAGCAAGTAATGAGCCACATCGATTCTTTTCCAAAAATCGAGTCTCACTATTGTAGACGAGACTCAAAAAAAGAGTACCTCTCACCAGAACTAAACATTTCCATAATGTATCGCCTATATCAGGAATATTGCGAAGAAAATGATATGAGTCCTGTATCTAGGTTCGTGTATCAAAGTATATTTCATGAACATGACCCACCGCTTTCTTTTTATAAGCCAAAAAAAGACCAATGTACTGTATGCAATGTTTTCAAGGCATCGCAAAACAAAGAACCTTCACGTGTCAACTTCGAAAACCATAAACGTCGAGAGAAGGAGTCACTAGAAATGAAAGAGAATGATAAAAAACGTGCAGTTGAAAACAAGGGAAGAGAGTTCAGAGCAATCTCTTTTGATTTGCAAGCCATTTTGCCCATTCCCTTTGCAGGTGATAGTCAAGTATATTATAAATCTCACCTCAATGTATACAACTTCACAATCTATGATTGCTCGAACAAGGATGGTATTTGTTACGTATGGGATGAAACACACGGCAGCAAGGGGAGCTCGGAAATTGGAACTTGTCTTTATAAGTATCTGCAAAGTTTACCTCAAACTGTTGAACACGTAGCTACATTTTCAGACACCTGTGGTGGTCAAAACCGCAATAAGTTCGTTAGCGCTGTAATGCTATACTCAGTTAATAAGCTGACTACTTTGAAAACCATCGGTCTAAAGTTCATGGAGTCCGGACATTCCTATTTAGAGTAAATCTTTCATCTCTGAACATTCAAATAGAAAGTGTGAGAAACTCAAAAAATGGCGGAATTGATATAAAAATTGATGAATCAAACCATAATAAACTGAAAGATGAACTTCAAAATAAATTGAATGAAAAATACCAAGTTACTGAGCCGAAAATGTTAAATCCAAAACTTAAAATAATAAATTATAAAAGTAGTGAGAAACCGAATGAAAAGCAAATTGAAGAAGATCTTATACATCAGAATTACATGATTCAGAGTGGAGACATACAAGTAAAGTTTATCAAATATTTTCCATCAAGAAACAATTACACTATCTACGCGGAAACTTCTGGAAAGCTATTCAAAAAATCTTCGAAGTCAATAATAGAAGAATACTTCTGGGATGGCAATGTTTGACAGTATATCAAAATAACGACATTTCTCAGTGTAGAAAATGCTACCGTTTTAATCATACAGAAAAGAATTGCAGGAATGAGAAGATATGTGCCAACTGTGGCAACGGTCACGAAGAAGAAAATTGTAAGCATGTGTCAATAGAATGCTGCAACTGTAGATATGGAAATGAAAGATATAAAAAAAAATTATAATATTAACCACTCACCTACCGACAAAAACTGTCCATCATACAAATATTATCAGGAACAACAAAACTTAAGGATACTTTTTTAAAATTCAAGTTGATCTTTTACTACTCCTATCTCTAAAGAGGACCTAAAAATGTCAGTAAATAAATACGTTAATGATTTCCAAATTCCAAGTATTGCAACAAATATAGCACAAAACGTCGATGAACTTAATTTATGTACACAAAATTCTGATGCAAAATTTCGAATATGAACATAAGGAGTATAAAACACAACATTGATTACTTAAAAATACTACTCGACCAAATATGGTACAATTTTGATCTAATAGTTTTAACTGAAACGTGGCAAGTGGCTGATATTTCTTGCTTCAATCAGCAGGGATATGACACGCTGTATAACTTTGGCACTTATAACCAAAACGATGGGGTGATAGTTTTTGTAAGAAATAAACCGCAATATAATCATGATACATTCACTTTTACCGATGGAATCAAAATTTTAAACATAATGATCCAAATTAACCATAACAAAATTGAGGTATCTGCAATTTATCGTCCGCCATGTTCAGAACCCCACGAGTTTTTAAAGAATATCGATTTTTTTTCCAAAATCAAAATAAAGTAATAATTAGTCACAAAGAGAAAAGCAGAATTGCCTGGATTACCAAAGGATTAATAACATCGGCAATAGAAAAAGAAAGACTATATAATGTAATGAAACTAACGCCAACTACAGAGAATACCGACTGCTACAACCAATATAAAAATAAATTTATAGAGCTTGTAAGCCAAACCAAACGAAAACATTACCTAAATAAATTGAATAATAACTTAAATGATCCTAAGCGGCTTTGGACAACTATTGATGAGATTACTGGGAAAACAAAAGTTAAAGAGTGTGTCACTGAGTTAAATACAACATCGGGAACAGTATTAAAAAATACTCAACAGATATGCGATGAATTTGTACAATTCTTTACTGACATAGGCGAAAATTTAGCAAGTAATATACAAACAAATGTACAAAATACTCAGCCTCCAAAAAGAACTTTGAACTCATTTATTTTGGATAAAGTCGAGCAATGTGAAGTATACACCACTGTTATGTCCTTAAAAAATCGGAAAAGTCCTGGGTTCGATGGTATTAAAAGCGAGCATTTGAAAATTATAGCCGAGGACATAACAGAACCACTCACTTACCTAATCAACAAATGCTTTGAATCTGGCATATATCCCTCAATTTTAAAAAAAGGTAATATAATACCGATACATAAATCAGGAACAAAAACAGATGTTCACAACTATAGACCAATATCAATAATATCCAGTGTAGCAAAGGTTTTTGAAAAAGTTTTATCTACTAGAATGATTCGATACCTCACAAAATTCAAAATTTTAAGTGAAAATCAATATGGATTTACAGAAGGGAAGGCTACATCGGACGCAATAACTAAAATTGTAAATCAAATACATCAAAATATTGATAACAGAATCCCTTCAATCTGCATTTTTGTTGATTTAAAGAAAGCTTTCGATACAGTTAATCACAAATTATTATTAGAAGCATTGGAGAGAATTGGTTTCAGAGGAAACGCGTACTCACTGATCGGAAGTTATTTGTCAAATCGCCCACAATCTGTGCAGATATCAGGATCATTTAGTAAAGAAATGTATATTAAGTGTGGTGTCCCACAGGGAACTGTCTTAAGTCCGCTGTTATTCAATATATATATTTAAATGATATTTTCCAAATTAATTGTGTTGGCAAAATAACTAGTTTTGCAGATGATACTGCAATATTATATGAAGGCACTGACTGGTCTGATCTGAAAAATGTAATTGAAAATGATTTTATCAAAATTATTCGGTGGTTTAACAGTAGAAAATTAAGCATTAACTACTCTAAAACACATTTTTTACCATTTGGATCTTATGCTAGACATCTGCCAAATTACACAAATTTCTCCTTCAATATTAATGATCAAAAAATGCAAATTAATAGAGTGCCCAACATAAAATACCTTGGAGTGGTCTTGGATCCTCACTTACGATGGGACATCCATGTCAATTATATTTTAAAGAAAGTTAGATTTGTATCCTACAAAATTAAATACCTTGGGAATATATTGACAGAAAAATATCTTCGAACATTATACCATGCACTGATTGAGCCTCATCTCACATATGGTATATTAGCATGGGGAGCTGCATGTTCCTCACATATCTATAATTTAGATGTTTTTCAAAAAAGTATTCTAAAAATGATATTTAAAAAACCGAAACTTTGTCCCACTGAAAAATTATACGCAGATGTTCGAATGTATGATATAAGACAGCTTTATTTCTTACACAGTATCATTCACTACCATAAATTTGTAAGCACCGACCAAAAAATTAAACATAATCATTATACCAGAGTAGATGGTCTATGGGGATTAGATCTCAGTAGTTCCAAAATCCGCCACCAGAGGCGCTGGCGTCGCGCGCCATTGATAGGTTGTTGGACGGAATCTGTAATCGAAATTCATGAGTTGGGGATTCCGCCGCTAGATGGCGCTGTCAAACCAAACGGAATCTGTGTGTCATTGGACACCTGTCATGCGTCATTGGGCATCTCACGCATAGATGGCGTTACACGTCATCTGTCATACGTCATTGGACACCTGTCATTGATGGGTTGAGCATCTCGCGCATAGATGGCGCCGATTTGTTTGGCGGTGTACAAACCTAACGGAATCTATGTGTCATTGGACACCTGTCATTGATGGGTTGGGCATCTCGCGCATAGATGGCGCCGATTTGTTTGGCGCTGTACAAACCAAACGGAATCTATGTGTCATTGGACAGCTGCCATTGATGGGTTGGGCATCTCGCGCATAGATGGCCAGATATCGCACCTGTCTGGTGTTGGCGTGGATTACGGGGGGCATTCAGAACGTGTATACAGGGGTGCATCGAAAAATAGCGGATCGATGGATCGACGGTATATCGTTAAATCGTATATAGCAAGGCGTGACCTAAATAGCGTGGTGGGCTCCTCTGGTCGGTCGGTCGGTCAGAATGTCTCATAACCTGTATACGATGTACTGTTATTATTATACAGGATGATACCGTTCAAAATGAAAATAGTATAATGGATATTTTATTGAAACATATTGTATATATAACAATAAGGTTGATTGGTGTGTGTGTGTGTGTGTGTGTGTATGAAATTTTCAGTTGCCTACAGTGTCGTCTGAATCAATATCGCTGTGTTCTGGTCGTGCAGGTAGATTGAATGATTGTTTTAAGTGATTCTTGTAATTATCAGGGAGTACTTTAGATGTTGATACTAATCGACTCAAATCATTCTTCGACAACTGATTTGGTTCATGACAGACAAGAATCAAATTATGTATTTCACGGTTCAGTTCTGGTTGTTTTTTAATTTTTTCCCTAAAAGCCTCGTAATGAGCCTCCTCGCTGGTTATTTTTGGTTTTACCATTTTTTACCTCTTTTTGAACAAAACAATTGCTTGCGACTGGTTTGAATGATTGATACTGTAGCACTGCTAGTGCTGATACACAGACTTTATGTAGTAGAATGATGGTGGGGGGTGGGGAGTCGAAGGAACCGAATGTTTTTTTTTTGTTTGACAACAGGCTGAATACGAAATAAACATAGCTTTCTGAAAAATGTATTTTTTAATGATATACAGATACAAGTTTAGATAACAGAGTTTTTAGTTGATGTAACAAATCCTCGCTGGGGCATGGTACTCCAAATAGAGTCCAATGAAATGGTCCGGTCGCAACAACTTTTCTTGTAAATTCATTAAATTTATAGTAAGTTGCGTGACGGAAAAAGTAAATATGGCCATCAATCCATCGAAATGCGAGAGAAATATCTTCAGGTAACCCAGGAAATATGTCTCTTATCCGTCCTCTGTTCAACACATCAGTAAAATCGTTAGAAAATTCTATATATGACATATTATTATAAAAGGTATAGGACCGTCCTGCGTTTGATTGAAAAATAACATTGATTCGAGCCCTATCGGGTATATCAATTGAAAAATTATCAAGAAATTTAATGGTAGGGAATGATGCTGAGAAATATTTGTTTGGAGACACAATGGTAATCAAGTCACCGTTTGTTGATTGGAAAATATGTTGTAAAGTGTATTGACGTAATTCTGTAGGAACATAATCGACAAGAAGTTCAGGCTGAGATGGGATAATCATTTCGTTTAAGTCTAGTTTCCATATAAACATATCATGTGCAATATATAATCGGTAATTTGAAAACTCTGGAGCAATAGCTAAAAACATAAAATCTGGAATAATATCACACAAATTTTTGAGGATCGGCTGCTTACGAGTTGTAGATCTTATAGTTGTTGTTGTTTTTGGTATTGCTGATGCGGTGGTAGACTTTGGGATTGAATCATATTTGTTTTTTCTTCCATATAGATATTGTACTGCATTTATATCATCAACATCTAGACCACGAATCTCATGCTGATAGAAGGCAAACATAATAGCATTCGGAGAAGCACTATGTGCTATGCCGAGGGCATGTCCAATTTCATGAACCAACACCATAAGAAAACTAGTTTGATTTTTGGGTATATTAGGATTATTTCCAAAATACCAGCGTTCATTTATATCTAAATGGATTTCTCTACAGGTGCCGCTAGAGTCAGGAAAGTATGCATGTCCTAAAACGCCGCCAGCATCATCTAATGTCAATGGACATTCATCATTACCCATACAGTTTGCTCTAAAATAATGAGTCTTGCTAACCATGGTTATAGTAATATCAGGAGGATATAGAGTGGGATTGGTAACCATTGTAAATGTTAAGTTTGAAACATTTTGCCACATCTGAAAAGCCATTTCTGCATCTTTTTGGGCCGCAGGTGTGTTTCGAGGGAAATACCATTTCAGGTCATGTTTCCGAAATGGAAAACTTGCTCTAAATTCAGCATCACTGTATTGACAACGCGGACGATTCATAAATTCAATTGTTGCATTATTCAACAATCCATCCACTGGTAAATTATACTTTTCTTGCAAGTTAGTTAGCAAAGTAGAGAGATCTGTTGTATTATCAATGATATGTTCATATTGAGTAGCACGTATGTGAAAGTTGAAATAAAAAATAATACGTCTACCCACATCAACATCTTGATAGAGAATGATGTCAAAAATCTCAGATAGCAAATATAAATTCGTTTACCCCCCAATCAAAATCTTGACTGAAAAAAAATTAGGCAGCAAATATACAATAATCATACACGAATTTCTATATTTCTAAAATTCTACTCTCATGTGCAACTTGTAATTGGAATTTCCGCCGGACAAACGATACATTCATGTATTAGTAAGAAATTATATAAAAAATACTGCAACCGCAATGAATGTTGTTTTCTCGATAAAAATGGTACTGAGAATATGATGCATATAATATGCATATTTACGATACAATTATCTCATGCACGTGTGTGTCATCTCAACCACGTACTTATATTGAGCGAGCGCATGCAATAGTTATCATTGTTTCACACTCAACGCACAACGCTGCAAGCTGCAACAACGACCGCAGTACAATAGTGCTTCGAGAGAGACGAGAGAGCGAAAATTTTAAAAAAAGTAAGTGCTATTTTATTTAATATTTTTCTTTTTTATGTCTCTAAGTGCAACTGTTTTTTTTTCGTGTTATGCTTCAAAATAGTTAGACGACTCAATTTTTTTTATAGATGGATTTATCAAAAATTAATGCTGCGTCTTCGATTGTAGACCGCAAACCTATCAGAAAATTAAAGGACCTACCAGTTGGGACACCATTTGCAATCCAAGCAGCTAAAGTGGTCAAGTCGAAATTTGGGGAAGCCGTGCTACTAGATTTAGGACCGGAAGTGCTATTTCTACCACAGCGGGTGACGGAAACGTACCAGCCGGTCATCGACGAACTTTTTCACGGAAAATACTCGATCATCTTCCAAGGGGAAGTGGACGTAGGGAAAAGCCGACCGCTAGCATCATTCAAAATAGTGGAAAATTAACAAAGCAGAGAACAGGAGGAGGACAGGGTGAGCATTTTTATATATTTTTGAGTAATGTGTTTGCTTGAAAAAAAAAATGTCGTCTTTTCAAATGTCTTCAAATAAGGTTAAAAAGATCATCAAACAAACAGACGGTGTTCTACTATCAATTGTTAGTCTACGGAAAATTTTATTTGATAATTTTACAATCAGAGACGCGGAAGTGTGGCTGAAACGAATAGAAAAACAAATTAGATTATGTAAACGGGTAATTCGTAGTAGAAGGCAAAATAAATTATCTGTAGGGACCTGTAGAAAAGTAGAAACAAATTTGGGGCATTTTAAACATTTTAGAAAGTTGATTTTAACTAGACATATTGGGGCAGGACTTCACTTAACATTGGGTCAGAGGGTTAGATGGGAAAATGTAGAATCGAGCTTTCAAAGTAGAATAAAAACCGGTTCCATAGCTAATTTGCGTCATAAGGACTTGAATCAATTTTTAGCAGATTGTGTAGTTGTTTTTAAAAGGAAAATTAGGAATATTTTGAACACCCATTGTGCGCTCAAAGTAAATACAACATTTTGCGGGGAGTTTATTAGGAAATCGGGGGATAATGAAATTTTGGGAATTAAATATATTAATACTAAAAATCATATTATTGATACATCAACTCAAATAGACGAGTGGTTTAAGATATATGTTAAAGATAAACTTTTAAACGAATTATCGGAATTTGCTGAAAAAGATTCGGGATTTGCGTTAAATAAAATTATTTCCTTAGTTGTTAATATCAGTAAATATCAATTGTGAAACGGTTCATCTTATATTAGACTACCAGAACCGATTATAAGGAAAAATGCTTGTATAAACATTAAAAATATAGATCAAAATTGCTTTTACTGGGCCATTGTAAGCGCTCTTCGGACTCCTAGCAATAAAAGACATGCAGAACTAACCTCCTCATATCCACACTTTACTGACGTTTTACAAACAGAAAATTTAGATAGTCCTATGCTGCTAACAAAAATTTCAAAATTTGAAAAGATGAATAACATTTCAGTCAATGTTTACGCTTTAGAATTGATCGAAACAGAAAAAAAATCATTTTACATAGTAGTACCAGCAAGATTAACGGAAAATAAACGGGATACGCATGTTAATTTACTTTTAGCTCAAAATAAATATTATCCGCGTTTAAATGATTATGATGCTCCTCCACCACTAGCGAATGAAGATAATGATTCAATCGATGAAATTAAATATCACTATTGTTGGATTAAAAATCTTTCGCGTCTTATTAGTAGCCAGTTAAATAAACATCGTGAGAAAAAATTTATTTGCGATAGATGTCTGAACTATTTCCATCAGCAAAATAAATTAGTTGAACATGAAAAACTGTGTTCTAAATTTAATAAATATAAAATTAACCTTCCTAAAGAGAGCTGCGTTGAATTTAAAAACTTTACATACCAACAAAATACTCCTTTTGTTGTTTATGCAGATTTTGAATGTCAATTAGAAAATCATAAAGAAAGTAGCGTCGTAAATTTAACTAAAACCATAAAATATCAAAAACACGTTCCGTATAGTGCTGGTTTCTATGTAAAATGCAGCTATGATGATAGCCTTTCTTATTTCGAGAGCTATCGAGGTGCAGATTGTATGGATTGGTTTGCAAATCGTATGGCTGGTGTTGCGCAATTTGTAAACTCAAAAATAAAAACAAGCGTACCTATGATTGAAAAATTAGACACATGTAAGGCAACATCATGTCATATTTGCGGTAAGAGATTTTCAAAAACAAAAAAAGACATAATCGTTAGAGATCACAACCATTTCAGTGGAGAGTTCAGAGGTTACGCACACCAAGCATGCAATCTGAACTTTAGAAAATTGTTTGTTGTGCCGGTTATATTCCATAATTTAAGTGGGTACGATAGTCACTTTATGATTTCGAATTTATGTAAAAAAGGTCGCTTAAGTCTACTTCCCATCAACAAAGATAAATACATCTCCTTTACGCTGCACTCAGATGAAAATAACATTAAATTGCGGTTTATAGACTCTTTTCGATTTATGGGGGCTTCTCTTGATGAATTAGCTTCAATTTTAGCAGAATCAGAAAAGAAAATTTTACAAAGGGAATTTCAAAATTTAGATGAAGATAAATTCAAATTATTAACACAGAAAGGAGTTTTCTGTTACGATTACATTGATTCGTTGAAAAAATTAAATGAAACGACTTTGCCCCCAATTGAAAAATTTTACAATAAATTAAACGATGAAAGTGTAAGTGACGAGAAGTATGCTCATGCGCAATCTGTTTGGCAACAGTTTAACATTAAAACATTAGGAGAGTATTCTGATATATATTTAAAAACAGATATTCTGCTTCTTGCCGACGTTTTTGAGCAATTGCGTAAAAAATGTTTCTCCACCTATGGTCTGGATCCTGCGTGGTACTATACAATGCCCGGATATACGTGGGACTGTATGCTCAAATACACTGGGTGTAAGTTAGAACTACTAAAGGATCTAGATATGGTGATGTTTTACGAAAATGCTATAAGAGGTGGAATTTCGGTGTGTAGCAACCGATTTTCGGAGGCCAACAATAAATATATGCCCGAATATGATCCTGAAAAGCCGTCCAAGTACCTTATGTACCTGGATGTGAATAACTTATATGGGAATGCTATGCAGCAACCCTTACCCTACGGAGGGTTCAAATGGGTAGATGATGTAACATCGTTTGATGTGATGTCAATACCCGACGACTCTGACGTAGGGTACGTGCTACAAGTCGATCTATCGTACCCACAAGAACTGCACGATAAACACAAAGATTTTCCGTTTGCGGCAGAACGTAGCGTACCACCCAGCGACGGGAGGGTAAAATTGCCGAAATTAATGGCAACACTTACGGATAAAAAAGAGTACACGGTTCACTATAAAAATTTAAAACAAATGCTAGCTAATGGGTTAAAGTTAACGAAAATCCATAAAATTTTACAATTTAAACAAGCAGCCTGGCTGAAACCCTACATCGAGTTGAATACTCGATGTAGAGCTGCAGCCCGGAATGATTTCGAAAAAAATCTTTTTAAATTAATGAATAATGCAGTATTCGGTAAGACCATGGAAAATATACGTAAGCACCGCGTATGTAAAATCGTTAAATCTTGGGGTGGTCGCTATGGGGCAGCAAACTTGATTTCGAGTTTTCGGTTCCACAGTCGCACAATTTTAGAGGAAAATCTGGTGGTTATCGAATTGAACAAGGCTGAAATAACGTTTAACAAACCTCTGTATGTAGGGCAGGCAATTCTAGACCTATCGAAACTAGTCATGTATGATTTTCATTACACCTATATGCTACCAAAAATGGGTGCAGAAAGGTGTAAGCTCATGTACATGGACACAGACAGTTTTATCTACGAATTGCAATGTGAGGATGCATATGAGGAGATCATTAAAGCTGATTCCAGTAAATTTGATACTTCGGATTATCCTGAAAATAACATATATAAAATACTGCGTAAGAACAAAAAGGTGCCGGGTCTAATGAAAGATGAAAATAACGGTAAAATTATGACACATTTTGTTGGACTTCGAAGCAAAATGTATAGTTACAAGGTGCAGGGTGGGAAGGTGGTTAAAAAATCTAAAGGGGTTAAGTACAATGTTAAAAATAAAATTGCATTTGAGGATTATGTTGAATGTTTGAAAGAA